GGCTGGCAGGCTGCAGTTCCGGATGGAGGGTGCAAGAGGCACTGTCTTGGGGGTGAGCCGGTGAGTGATGCAACTTTTTTTTTTTTACTATTAACAGCAGAGGACACATGGCATTTCAGGGGGGCAGGCAAGGCAGGGGCAACAAACTATCATCCGGCGGGCCGCAAATGGCCCCCGGGCCACATGTTTGAGACCCCTGTTCTAGAAGATTAAGTATAAACAACTAAACTCATTGAATACAGCATGGTTTCTTACTTGTTGTAGGTATTTCACATGGATTCCCAAACCCTTTATAAATGTCAGATATTAGAGTCAAACCCAAGGCTTTTTGCTGCTAGAGGCAAATGACAAGATGGTTCCCACTCTTCATTCCACATCGAGAAGCTAACTGACGTACCATTGAATTTTACTCGAACCCTTGTCCTTAACCACTCCTGAGAAAGCAGGCTAGTTTCAAAAACCCAGGACATGTTGTGTGGTATACACAGCTCTCTTGTCCAACACAATGGAACAAAGGGGTGTCTAGAGAACAGCCAGAAGCAACCGTTGATTGCCTTCCTCACCATTTCCCACCAAGAGGCCACTTCATCTTCACCAACAGTAGAGCATGTTCTGTTAGCGTATATATCTGTTTCATATCTGACTCTAAGGGCCTTTTCTAATTAGCAAATTAGCATCCTTCTCCCATGTTTTTCACACTCCTAGCTGTAAGGTTTATAATTGCTTACCATACAATGGCTGGTAACTATCATGAGCAAATGTGCTACGCAAGAGCAGAATAATAAATCAAAACAAATGGATTTCGTTCATGAGTTCCCTCTTCAGTTCTGTGAAAGCCTTTGCCCACCTAGTCCAGAAATAAAAAGACGACATGTAGGTTGTTTGGGTTAAACGTAATCAAAACAAATGGATTTCGTTCATGAGTTCCCTCTTCAGTTCTGTGAAAGCCTTTGCCCACCTAGTCCAGAAATAAAAAGACGACACGTAGGTTGTTTGGGTTAAATTTGGGCCACAGCTTTATTAACTATTTAACTAATTCCCCAACTACAAGGGGGCCTGACTGTAGTGCGAAGTCCTATTATACGCCAGAGTAACCTATACCTCTGGATGACTCAATAGAGCAGGGCGAGCTCCTATTTCTGAATCGTGCAGTTCGCTGAACAGTACACCTTCAGGTGCTCAGTGCTAAAGGTAACCCACCTTCTCAGCCCACTGAGTCTCATGACCCTAAGTGGGCTGCTCCTTGGGAGGTTCCCCTATATGGAACCACCTCTCCTCAGATGCTGGATTGGCTGTATCTGACAGAAAGATGGCATAATAGTCTCACCACGTGCTAACCATGAACTGAGTCCCTCTCTGTTTTCACGCTACTCGCTGCTGTGATTGGCTGTATCTGACAGAAAGATGGCATAATAGTCTCATCACGTGCTAACCGTGAACTGAGCCCATCTCTGTCTTCGCGCTACCCGCTGCTGCGACCAAATGACTTCAACTATTCCACAAGTTTACTTTTTTCACCAACCCATCAGTTAAGAATGGCATGAGCGAAAACGCACACTCTCATCCTATGGCCAATACGGGATGTTAGCCAAAAATTCCCATCTGGCTCCAATAGGCAACCAGCTAATCTCATTCTTAAATTAGGGTGGGTGAGAGGGATTGCTGGGAAAAACATCAAAGAGGCTGAGCTAGGACAGCAGAGGCTTATGAAGCCTCCATCCTTCCTCCCCTCAGAAGCATCATTGTTCGACCATGACAAAAACAGCAAAGAGGCTGAGCTAGGACAACCGAGGCTTATGAAGCCTCCATCCCTCCTCCCCTCGGAAGCGTCATTGTTCAACCATGATGCCGCCTTTTCGAGCGGGAGGGCAAAGCCTCCCCATCAGTGTGACTTGGCATCATGGTGGAGAGGTCAATTTACATCCATTACATTTGATCCCTAAACAGCCACAAAGTTTATACCAGCATTCACTCTCTTTCCTTTCATCATCAGTGCAGATCCACAATGACATCCAAGCAGACTAACCAATGAATGCAATAGGCTGAGGCAAGCAAGGAAGGATGTAGGTAATGAGACCAGTGTAGATCAAGTGTGGGCCAAGTACAACCAGTGGACCGTACATATCCCTAGAGGCGCTTTTGCAGCCCTAAGGGCCATCGCGCACAACTTTTCTTTTATGTCACGCACAATTTCCCTTTCGGCTGTGGTGGTGAAGCTGTAGCCTCTTTCTGTCAGAATCTTCATGAGGTAGTCTGTGAGGTCACGACCAGCCAGATCAAGTCGCAGAATGGCATGAGGAAGGGCATAACCTTCATAGATGGGCACAGTGTGTGTGACACCATCTCCAGAGTCCATTACAATACCAGTGGTACGACCAGAGGCATACAGGGATAGCACAGCCTGGATGGCCACATACATAGCAGGAGTGTTGAATGTTTCAAACATGATCTAAAAAAAAAAAAAAGTTGTAAAGAACAAGAATGCTTCTGTGGTGCAACACACACGCATGCAGCCATGCAAGATATCTGATGGAGAAGAAAAAGAAAAGAAAACAAGCAGAAATACAACAAAAACCTGAGAGACGTCAAGGAAGGAAATGCCAGGAAGAGTACAGAATCCTGAAAATAAGAGAATAGAAATTTTGACTCTAAAGAAAAATGGTGGTGAAATGGATGAAAGTGATAAATGTAATAACCACATCAGCATCATACCTGTGTCATCTTCTCTCTGTTGGCCTTGGGATTCAAAGGAGCTTCTGTTAGCAGCACAGGGTGTTCTTCAGGGGCAACACGAAGCTCATTGTAGAAAGTATGATGCCAGATTTTCTCCATATCATCCCAGTTGGTGACAATTCCATGTTCAGTCGGGTATTTCAGAGTTAAGATACCTCTCTTGCTTTGAGCCTCATCCCCCATATAGCTATCTTTCTGTCCCATTCCATCCATGACGCCCTGGTGGCGTGGGCGCCCAACAATTGAGGGGAACACAGCATGAGGAGCATCATCTCCAGTGAAGCCTGCCTTGCACATACCGGATCCATTCTCAATGACAAGCACTGCAATTTCCTCTTCCATTTTGAGAATCTGTAAGGAGGCAGGAGCTTTCAAAGATGAGAAGAAAAGACGAGGTACTGCTAGATCCGCTGCCGCCGGCTGAGTCCATACAGAAAAGACTGAACTCCATTTGTTATGAAATATAAAAGGCCTATATAATTGCACAAGAGTTTCCTAAGTAGGCTGCCCCTGTAGCAAATACCAACTCACAAATCAGAAAGGGTTGCTAGATATTTTATGTATTTTAAAAAATGTTAGAATCCAGAATAGAGACGGACATGAACTGATGGTTCAGTGGTTTGGTGCAGTTCACTTCCTGGCTGAATAGCTGATCCGTAGTTCAGTGCTGTGCCCTCTCCAGTGGGCACCCTCTCGGCAGCAACATCCTGCCCTGCCTCCTCCTGGCGCTTACTCCAAGCTGGCACCCACTGCAGGCAGCAGGGGGGCCAAATCCCAATCAGCTATTTGGATGAAAAACAAGCTGCGCCAAACCACTGAAACAGGAGTTTGTGCCCATCTCAAATCCTGAGCGATTCTCTCCAGCAATATCCTTGTGAATTCCAGAAGAAACGGCTGACATTGTAACTGTTGTCTGCTGGCCATAATTTCAGACTTAATCATGACAAGATAATCTCATTAGCTTAGCGGGGGGGGGGAGGCAGCCACAAAAAGGGGGGCAAACCTAAGCAATATAGACAAAGAGCCCCAGATCCTATCTTCACGTTATATATGAATGAGATGTAGATGCTTCAGTACGAAATGAGGAGGAAGGGTTTTTGAATTAGACTTCTAAAACCAAGGCAGGTAGTTCTAAGAACACACTTGACCCTAAACAAGACAAGATCTACTTGTCTGAGGCGGTTGTCATCAGGCTGATGGCTGGAAGGCAGTACATGATGCTCAGGGAAGTTGCAATTAGTGTAGACCTTTGGTCTAGATGGGTGGGATTCAAATCAAATCAAATCAAATCAAATCAATCAATCAATCAATCAATCAATCAATCAAAAGCATTTACATACATAGAGCAAGTGAATGGGGTCTAATGGTATTTACATGTGGTGTGGGACTGCTGGAGAACTGTGGTAAGGTGGGTAAGGCAAAATAGACAGCACACTAGCCAGAACATGGTCTTAGAGTCAGAAAAATAGAGTAGAAAGGGTTCCACTGTGGCTCAAGGCCACCTTTAAGGTGGCTGCCAAAAACATATGTCATCTAGTACAGTTTCATTTAGTTACTGATGAGCTTAAAAACATGACCAAAGGTGTTTCAAATGTGTTGTATAAACTTTCTTCTCTGTCCCCTATAGTGGGGAGTTTGTGTGTGTTTGAGATGGTGTGTGTGTGTGTGTGTGTGTGTGTGTGTGTGTGTGTGTGGGAGAGAGAGAGAGAGAGAGAGAGAGAGAGAAAGTGCTAGAAGAAAGGCTAAACTTTCAGCATCTTAATTAGAAAATAATAAACATGTATCCCTGTGGATATCAATTTTTGTCAAAACTGTCCATGCAATGAGTTTGCAAACGAAGTTAGTGACTAGCTCCTGATGACTAGTCGCCACACAAAAGCTTGCTAATCTGCATTTATCAGAGCTGAGGAAAGTTCATGTTAAAATAAACAAACGTCTTTAACTTCTTCAGGAAGCTCTGCTTCTAATAGCAAAGCTGGTACGTATGTTGTGCAATCTGGTCTGAAGAGGAAGAGAGAGAGAGAGGCTAGCTTCAACATTCTGCTTGGATTTTCTCTTTACTGCCCTAGATTTCAGCTACTTGGAGAAGGAAGCTGAGACACTACTGGAGAATAGAAAAAAATATAGAATAACAAATGCAAATTGTTGCTCTATGTGCTACAGAAAGACTAGGACAAGTGCCAGCTTGTCATTTGCAGAGTTGGACTATTGTTCTCAAAGTTCATGATCCTTGTTGAATTAGAGCTCGAAGGATTTCTTAGGCATCTAGTTCCTTCCCTTCACATAATACTGTGCTATACAACTCCCGACAGGTGGCCATACACCATCTGACTGAAACCTTCTGTTGAAGGAAAACCCATTGTCCTTCTGAGGCTGTCCGTTCCATTGCTGAACTTTTCAGGCCATCAGGAAATTTCTCCTTCTATTTAGTAACTGCACTTTACTTGAAACTGCATTTCATGTAATTTGAGTGTGTCATGTGAGGTCTGGTCCCTGGGAAAAAAAAATTTATCTAGGCAATGTTTTAGAGGCAAGAAAGATATATTAAGATTTAGAATACCCATTGAGTCCCACGAAAAACTGGGCTCAATAAGAAAGTTGCCATTTTATTCTATAAGTGGTTGTATAAAGACAAAATCCTCTTCTTGGATGTATACCTTAATATGGTGAGGGAGTGTGTCAGAAAAAGCAAAATAGTGTCTGTTGGAAAAGCTGAGAGCAATACCATCAGGAGACTAGACATCATTACAAATCTGGACTCCTAGCAGGGTCAATACTGCAAAGCCTGACTGAAAAATATCCATCAGACTCCTGGGAAAGCCAATTAACATAACCATCATTCAAGTCTATGCTCAAACTACCAATTCTGGAGAAGAAGAAATTGGAAGCTTTAATGCAAGCATTCAGGAGGAAATTGATCACACACCATAATAAGACATGTTTATAATTACAGGTGCCCGGAACACAAATGTAGGTAATAAAGCAGAATCAAATGTTCTTGGAAAATTGGGTTTAGGGGTCAGAAACGAAGCACAAGAATGAGTCATAAAATTCGGTGAAGCCAACAACCTGTTTATCACAAATACAGGCTTCAAACACCCCCTCCTGCTGCTGCCGCTAAGGAGTACCATGATTGGAAAAAGTTTTGAGAACGACTGGCATATAATAACATGAGGACCAAATAGCAGCAGAAAATATCTGCTCTCACACTCATTATTCTGTCTCTTTTCCCATATAGGTTTGTGTGAGAGGCATGGTCTCCCTGCTTCTTCTCTGAAACATGGTATTGAAATCACATGTGAGATATTCATGTACTCGCTTTTACTCTTAAATTACAGTAAATGCATGGAACCTTCCATCTCATGTGTACCCTTTAGTCTAGGAATACTTCCATCGATAATTTAAGCAGAAAATGCTAGTAATTTCATCTAGAGGATAGAATCAAAGTAGAACCTCATGGCCTTATAAGTGATGCACAATAAATTATAATAATAGGTATTTATCATTGGTTCCCCCAGGTGTGGAACTATTCTATTATTCTCTTCCTTGGTGTTAGGTCCCTTCTTTCAGCATGTTTGCCACTTATCATGAATGATTTATACAGTCCACAGACGAAGGTGGGTTTGCTGCTTGACGAGTTCCAACTTTTTTAGTTATTTGTATGAGGACTTTTTTTTCCATACCTACTCAGTGATTCTTCATTTTTTAGTTCCCCAAGGAAGAATAAACATTTTGATGCCCTTTATTCCATAGGAGAAAACAGGGTATAATTAAGCAATAATGAGAACAATTATGTATTTTCAATAAAGGACATGGTACTATAGTCACTTTTGAAGACAACTTTTAAAGATCTCAGCACTGCAGACTCCAGCGTTTTCTACTTGGGGCCATGATATTCTTGCCATGTGTTTCGATCTAAGAGCTGAGAGTGATCATTCCATTTTAGATTATCAACCATAGGGGATGCTGAAAGCTTGGAAGATGATAGTTACAAATAACCATTAGGGATGCAAGAAATCACCAGCATATTCCATGTTCTATTCCTTCTGGTCAGCTAAGGTGTTTTAATGCAATAAATGTTCAAGACATGCATGATTCTCTAGGAGAGAATGAGACATGAACCACTTTTTCTATATGTCATGGGTGCCAGAATTTGTTCAAAATATCACCACACAAAACTAGCATCTTTTCCCTTTGAGAAACGAAGTGCATGCACATGGCAAGCACTCCCCTTCTCCAGTGCTAGTAATCCTGAAAAATGTATGCAACACAGCAGCTATAATCAGTTGCATTATTTGCACAATTTTGTTTTCTGTGCATTATTTGCACAATTTTGTTTCATCTGCATTATTTGCACAATATTGCTTCATGTGCATTATTTGCACAATTTTGCTTCATGTGCTGGCTGGATAGTTCAGTGGTTTAGGTATCTGGATGCAGAGCCAGAGGTTAAGAGTCTGATTCATCACTGTGCCTCTTTTCTTGGGAAAAGAGCTAGGCTGTGTAAACTTGGGCAAGCTGCAAAGTCCCAAGGTGCCCCAAGAAGAAGAGAACAGTAAACCATTGCCTGCCTAGAAAACTCCGAGAAGGGCCACCATAAGACAGCACATCATCAACATCATTAATTAGTTGACAGTGCCCCATGGAGTGAAGAGAATAATTTTATGCTTTTGGACCCTTATATGTGAGGACAACACAAGCAAGGGTTTGAATTAATTTCCTTGTAATTAATTTCTTATCCCAATAATTTGACTCCTTTTGCAGTGCAAATGTAACTTTTCAAGTAACTTCTGTTGTTATGGGAGTGTAGTTTTATGAGGCAGCAGATAAAGAATATGACATGGTTAAAGTGCTGGAACATATTTTTCTCCTGCTTTATTGTTCCCATCGAGGTACCAAATATATGGATGAGAGGAGAGTGGGTACAGTGGGTTATAACAACTAATAAATAATTAACTCTCACCTCCTATAAGATAACTAACAGATATTTGACAGATCATGTTCTACTACAAATTTGATCTATCACGCCCTATCAAACCCTGTCACCTCTACAAACCCTATCTGAGAGACTGCTTACTAACACTTGCATTATATATCTATCTGGCTGATAGATATATAAAAACATTCTGATTGGTCAGAATGCTTCACTATGTAAATATCACAGTTAGACCTTACAATATAAAAACATGTACATGTATTTATAGAAAAGTAACTATCTTAGCCAGCTTTAAGGTACACAGAAGTGAAAGTATAATTTTAAAAATAATTGTATTTGGGGCCTTGGAACTATAGCTATAGGTACTTTTTAGTTTGCATGCTCTGTACACCTATGAAGATTGGACATTAGGATAACTATTACCAAAAGCTATAAGAAAGAACTCTTGATTTAG